AACACAATGCATCTCTGTGATGCCCTGAGGAGTTGGCCTTGCAGGCGTGGCACGGATGGCGAGTTTCCTTCCCTCCTAGCGTCTGACTCCTCTGCCAAGGGGTTAGCACAAGTAGCGCCATTTCTTGTTTCCCTTCAGAGAAGTGAGAGGGCCAGCGGGAGCCAAGCGCAACCGTCCCTGAGAGTGGAGCGGTGTGGGAAGGGGGTCCTGGTGGACACTGACCCGGAAGCACTCCCAGCAGCAGAAGGAAGAACTAACATAGTCCTCATGAGAGGCTGCCACTGAACCGGTGCCTAGCCAAGGGGGGACCCACCACCCAAAGTGTGGCTACCAGTAGTTGTCCAAGCCAGGAAGTCTCTAGTTGCAGATGCCACATTGAGATCTGTATTTCCACCTTCCCCCGGTACAGTTAGGAGCACCTTCATAGTTAGGAGCACGCAGGAAGGAAGAAGATACCTCACTCGGCTACGATTTTGTGACGTTTCTCCATGCACTGGTTGTCTTCCTCACCTCCAGCTGACTGCAGCCCCTCCAGGGTGGAGGTGGTCCCAGCTCTCATTCTCCCGGTAGATTCGGAAAACAGGTTTGTAGCTGGGAGAGGAGTTAATGCCAGGCACCAAAAGCCTTGCAGTGCTAATAAAGTCGGGTGCTGTGCCCCGTGTCGCTGGTAGTGCTGCACTGGAAGAAGGGCAGAAGATAATCCTTATTTATTCAGGGGTGCTGCCAGGGGCAGAAATTGTGACGGAGCTCCTCTCTGGCCACTAGCGCCCCAGCATGAGCCAGGGAGCCCCTATGCTCCTTGCCAATACCAAGGTGTTTACCATCTGAAGTTAGATTTTAGGAAGGTGCCAAGGTCGGGCCTACTCGCAATTTGGTGCCTACTGGTAATTTGGCTCCTGTTAATATCCTCAGATGGGACATCCGACACCTTAATTCATTTCCGAAAGTTTTAGTCTTAACTGCATTAAAAAAAAAAACACTAAAAAGCTGCAGGTACTGTCAAAGTAAACAATCACTGCTGTGATTGAAGATTTTTAATGAACATCCTTTATATCTTGTTGGTTTTTTGTCTGCTAATGAGCAATAATTTTAAAACACTGGATTTGATAATTTAAAAATAAGTGGAAGTTCATCACTGGTTAACACATTTGCTGCTAATTGCCAGCTGAAAATGCTGGTTACACAGGACCTCCCAAAATAGCAATATAGAGCATTTATTTGTTTATACCTACAGCGTCTGAAACACCTACGTGCATATATATATATCTATATATATATATATATATTTATGGATTGTTTCTGTTTTTCAGTCTTCCTGGGAAATGTTTTTGTCAGCCCTGGACATCAATGAAAACCAAATTTAATAAACAAAACACATTATGAAAGCAAGATGAAGGTTTCTTGGCTCTCTCCATGACCCTGGCAAGGAATGGTTCAGTGGAACCAATCGCAGGCAACACCATTTATCTGGACTGCTGATAGTAAAAAGGTTCAGGGATTTGTACAGTGCACACTTCTGCGACCTGTTTTCCACGTGCTTACACAGCATGCCCGTTGACTTGCAAGACTAGGGTCATTTCCCAGCCTAAGACTGAACTCTTCATAGAAGAGGAGGGGAATTGAATGGGATTTCAGTAGGATTTGGAGTTAGGGCCCAATTCCCATTGATTTTTTTAGCAGAAGTTCAGCTGCACCTCGGAAAACCTCCCATTTTTTTAATATAAAATAAACTTTAGTGCGTGACGGTTCTTGTGCTAAACGTTTTTATTTGAACAAACTGCTGCCAAACAGAGATCCTGCAGTCCTAGGAACACCAAGCCAAACAACGCAACATCACACAAAGGTCAATCCTTGCGGGAAAGCATTATTAAAGCCTCAAAACTTCTGCAATGTGAAGGACAGGGCGACAGCTTTCATTTTATAATGCCATATGCTGCGTAAAACCAGCCGGTGAGCTCCTAAATCTTGTGGGAGAGAAGAAGGGGTATGACATGGTGCTCTTCCTTCATGGGGGATGGCTGGGAAGCAATCTGTTCCAGCTCTCCCTCTTGCAGAATCACCCCCAATTTTAGCACCTGGGGATTAAAGCTGTGCCGTGAAACTAGTTACTTCCGACATCAACAAAATGCATTTTGTTTTAACTTTGTAGGAACAAGAATTAGGATCTCTGAAAGAGCTGTGCTACCTAAGCATCAGGTCAGCTTCAGAGCAGAACGTGCTCGCTTCTGGGTGGCGGAGACGAGTAGCCAGGCTCACACGACTGTGCAGCAAATTACGTACTGATCACAGTATTACTTGAATAGAAAAAGGTCATTTTAGTCCCTATACTCACAGCTAAAACTAGCTGAAGGGGGAACCTGCAAATACTGCAAAATAGCCTTTGGGTAAGGATAAGGATGTAGAACTTTTAAACATCTGCGACTTGAAAAGTTGCAGAAACCAGCAGAAAGTGCTTCCATAGAGGTCCAAGCTCAAGTTTGCCATTCTGGTAATCTTGGTAGGAAACGCCCTGTCCTATGCGCATCTGAGGTGGAAGACTCTGACACACTGAATTTCAGTTACCGAAAATCAAGACAATAATTTTTTTTTTCTAATTTGCATAGAAATGACCAGGGAGATGCACATCTCTAAGTTTTGTTTTCCTCAGATCCATGCTTCCCATACTGACAGAAGTTAACAACTTAATTTTTCTCCAAGTAAGCCTTTTTCTGTACCTTGGTGATGTTCCGTAGAGGACCCACCAGCTGGAATCCAGATATGGCACACAGTTGCACTGATGTTTCCAGCACAGTATTGAATATTGCTCAGTTGCGTATTAATAGTGTCCTGCCAGAGACGCTTGAAAGACCTTTTTAGGCTTTAATAGAGGAAAGAGGTAGTTGCCCGTGTGTGTGCAGAAGACATGGTGGGACTGTTCTGACTAAGGGCAAGAACAAAGATGGCAGAAGCAGCACAAACATCTCCAAAGTGAAGCTCATTCCAGGTTTTGAGTCAAAATTAGAGACTGGCTGGGGAAAAGTGTCTCGGCAACACATATACCTTCCTCCGCTTTGGGTCTCAAACTGAGACCATGAGACTAAGCTGATGAGATGCTCAGATGGTAAAACCCACTGGGTGTTACACTGCGGAGGTGTCCTAGCACAGGCTTAGCTTTGCAGGCCTTCCAGTGGACAGGCTGCTGCACCAAACACGCCAGGGCAACTCATTAGGCAAGAAATTTGTCTCCATCGAGAAATACAGAATAAGGCTTCCACAAAACATATAAATCTCTTAAATAGCATCCAAGTCAGAGGTTTCCTGGTGATGTACGCATCACCACCATGGCCCTGGGTGAGGGGAACTGACTCCCCAAGGAGAGCAATCACACTACTCGCAAGCAGAAGGTTTGGGTTTCTCTCACTCAACGTGCTGCCAGCGTCCCTCTGGACCTCTGGCTGCCGTTCAAAAGTGCTCGGGTGTCCCGTATGGCCCGTATCATGCCTACGGCCCTGTACAGGTGCCTTCGCCTGCACTAGACACCTGCACATGGATAACGAATCCTGCCGTGGCCCCAGCCAAGCCTACCAGCATCCACCTGGGAAGCTTTGGTTGCAAGACAGCGGCGTGAACACCAGATGCCACTGTTCCCTTAGCCATGCCGTGATGTGCTGAGGGAAATCCCGCTTACACACGCAGGGGAAATCTTCCCAGCTTTTGCTTTCTGCGTCAAGTCTCTCAAGCCTGCGTGAACTAGCTTTCCATTAAGGACTGATTTTTAGCTCTTTAATAATTACCCTGACAGTTTCCAGGAGACAGCGGTCAGCCCATCTCTCTTTCAAAGGTTAGTAGAGCTGGGGCGGCACTGCTGCCTGTTAGGCAGCACAACTCCCCTGCCGAGCGTGGGGCTGGGCGCCTGCAGGAATTAGCATCTTCCTCTTTGGAAGGCGAGGTTGTTATACCTTCCTTCGCCAGGAAAGGAAAAATGCCAAGAATTTGCTAAAACAAGCTTATCATGAGAGGGCCTAAAATACATATCTGGGTTCACTCAGCTTTCAGATAAAATTTGCCTCAAATTGTATTTAGCCAGTACTTCAACTAGAAAGAAAAAAAAAAAAGACATTTTTCACCCCTCCGTAAAACATATGTACGTACCAGGTGACTTTCCTTTTCTTTTTTTCCAGGGTAGAAACACACGCAATTAACACGGTTGACACAATAACTTGAAACAGGTAACCCCTTGCTACAGAGTCAGCGCAGCTTCTCTGAAGTCAAGTGAGCAATGCTGATTTATACCATTGGCTTAGCTTTGTCTCACACCAGCCTCCCTTCGGTTGTCTCAGACACGTCCCATCCCTCAGGCTGTTCAGGTCAGCGAACACATTGGTTTAAAAGCGGGTGAGCAAAGTTTTTCAAAGCAGTGGGTGAGTGGGAGCAGAACTGGGGGGTTCCCTCCTCTTACATCGAAGGGCTGAATTATGCGTAGGGTAGTGGGGAGATAACACATCACCATCCCCAATAGAGACCAGCTAGAATCAAATCTGGTTTTAGACCATCCTGACTGCGCACGAGCCCACACGGTTTCTTCTGCACATTCAAAATTATGAATTTGGCAGGACGAGAAAAAAAGTATGGTGTGCTTTTCCCAGATCACCCACCGCAACTCTGCCGTCAGCTGTAAAACAGGCAGAAGGTGGCACTGCAGGTGTTTGGTAAAGGCTGGCGCAGCAGTAAGGGAAGGAGATGAGCGTTAGCAGCCTGAAAAGAGTCAGTCTTTCCATTTTGCTTGCGATGGGTGTAAATCACACCATAAGTTCTGATAAATAATGAGAATGGACGTGGGAAAGAAAAATGCCGTCTTTTAAATTCCAGCAATAGGAAAAATTACCATTTCAAACCACTCAGTTTCAATCATTTCTAATGCTAGAAATAGCAACATTTGGATACTTTTGCTGGAGGGAGAGCTTGTACTTTTCTAATCTAATGAGGATCAGTAATGTTGCGTGACTTAAC